CGTTGACGCAGACCAGTCCTGAAGCAGCAGCTTGCATTTAGAGGGTGAGAAGCGCATTCCAAACATTCTGGCATTGTTGCTTAGTGCTACCAGAAGACTCTGCATTTTATCAGCATTTTCACCAAACAAGACTATGTCGTCTGCGTATTCTAAGTCAATAAGTGGACCTCCCGAAAGGAGATCAACACCCGAGAATTCAGTCGATGAGAATGTTATTTCCATCAGTAGGTCTATGATGAAGTTAAACAAAAATGGAGAAAGTGGACAGCCTTGACGGACACCACTTGAGGTTGCAAAAGCAGATAACAGTTCGCCATAGGCTCTCATTCGACTAGTAGTGTCCGAGCAAAGAGCCTTCATAAGGTTTATGTACTTCTGAGGTACGCCTTTCAATGACAGATACTACCACAGAATCTCGCGGTCTACCGAGTCAAATGCTGCTTTTAAGTTAAGAAAGACCACGATTGTCGGACGCCGATAAGCATGCCTGTGTCCTAAGATCTGACGAATGGTGAATATGTGATTGATGCATCCATGATCAGGTCTGAAGCCAGCCTGATTTTCTCGTGTTTGCAGTCCACGAGTCTTCGTAAGGCGTCCGATAATTGTTGAGGCTAGTATTTTAGATACTATATTAGTTAAACTAACCCCTCTATAGTTGTCACAGGATGAATTTGATCCCTTCTTATATATTGGGACAATAAGCGATTGCAACCAGTCAGATGGGATAACGTCCAACTCCCAGATCTTAGCTAAAATATTAGTCAACCTAATGGCTGAAATCGGACCACCACACTTAAAGACCTCTGGAGTCAATCCATATGGACCAGCTGCCCTACCTCGTTTCAGATTAGCTATAGCCTTTTGAACTTCACCTAGAGTCGAAAGACCTACTTCAATGTTCCATTCAGGCTGTCTGGGAATGATGGGTAGTTGTAGAGTAGCTGAAGTCCAGCTGAACTGTTCTCTGAAATGTTCCACCCATCGTTCTAAACGTCTGGACTGGAAGCAGATAAGAGTGTCGTCTTTTTTCGAAATAGTCTGACTTACACTTGACTTATTAATTCCAGTTTCTTTTATCAGTCTGTATAGCTGTCTTGTGTTACCTATAGCCGCCGCCTTTTCCATCTCTTTTGCTTTCGTTGCCCACCACTGCTCACAGTCGTTCCTTAGTCTTTTGCTTAACCTAGATCTGATTTGTATACGCTCTTCATCGTGTTCGGAACCTGATGGGATGAGTTTACGAGAATCCATCAGTGCAATAGACCTTGAGGAAATCCATTGGTTCTTTGTAACCCTGTGGTTTAAATCACTAATAGTTGTCACTGTTGTTTCCACAGCTGTTTGTATATCTTTCCAAACAACAGCTGGGTCAGCCTCGTTTTCAGAACTGCCTAAGTGTGACTTCAGTTGTTCCTGGAACCTACTTTTGGTTTTCTCGCTACTCAGTTCAGTTCTAATAGGTCTTTTTACTGAGGCTTTTTGCGTCCAGTGAGGCGCAAGCAGATGCGTGCCCGTATTAGAGCATGGTCGGAGTCCAAGCAGGTACTCCAGAATGAGCGACAATCTTCTACCGACCCTCTCCAACGATGACTGATGGCAATATGGTCTATTTGAGTCCATCGTTGGTTTGGTGTAAGGGGTCGCCATGTTAGACGATCTCTCCTTATGCTTAAAATGTGTGTTTGCTAAAAATAAACGGTTGTCTGAGCACAGTCGCAGCAGACGATCACCATTATCTGTTCGCTGTGCCGGAATACTAAAATACCCACATAAATGCCTTTGTGTTTTGTTCAAACTACCTATCTGAGCATTAAAGTCACCCCTACGAGTACTATGTCTGAACGTTTAGCTTTCTAAAGAAGTTCAGATAGCTTTCTGTAAAATTCATCCTTCACTTCATCTGAGCTGCAGTCGGTGGGAGCGTAGGCTGAAACGACAAAAAGGCAACGACGTGTGTCCCTATCCTTCCGAGTTCTTACGGAGCCGTTTAGCCGAACAGCACATAGACGACTGTTAAGGAGGATCCACTGTAACAGTGCTTGTTCAGCCCTCATGCTTAGTGCTATGCCTACTCCTGCCAGTCCACGAGAACTGGCCATCGGGTCACCAGATACACGTAGGGTGTATCTCGTTGGCTCTCCGTTTTGTCGAGGTGTGGTCAAGTGAATGACCATACAAGGATCCTGTATGCATGTTTCGGAGACATAGTATGCATCAGTGGTACGAGATTCTAGGGTTTTAGCCAATGAAGCCTGCTGACCGATTTGACATAGGGTGCGTACGTTGAAGGCTCCAATGTGTAGTTTGGAGCGAGGTTTCAGTAGACCTGGGACAGAGTTTTGCGCACTAGAATCGTTGGCTATGGTGACACTTGAGGAGGAAGCCGAAAGAGGAAGTTTAGAGTTGAAAGTCGATGGAGGAGGAATAATGGGAATTGAAGAGCGAGGTTTATTATGAATATAGTGGTCTTGAGTGCTATTAGAGGTATGAGAGCGGTTATCACTTCCCGGTTACCCACACCGTGAAAGGGTTCTTCTGGAGGTACCAAGGAGGAAATTGGACTAGAGGTGGTCTTAGTGACCTGAGAGCGTGACTACTGTGCCCAAGGGACAACTGATTGAGGTCGGTCACACACGAACTTTTTATGGGTACTTTTTGTGTTAGCTCCTTACTTGTCGAGACCATACCGCCAGAGACAGATATCCGTGGGATAAGACGAGGTGTTCATTTTTAAAATCGACCTTTTCTAACCTCACCCCTCCTTGTGAGAAGGCAGCATCTGTGTTGCGCTGGTTGTCCGAAGGAAACACCTTACTCCTGTCACACCTCTGTACAGTCAGCAGTACAACTGCGCCTTCGGACCTTGAGTTTGTTGCTTTTAGTCTTATCGCTCTTCAACCGACCTGTCTGACATGGTAGGATCTTGAGGAACGGTTGTTCCAGCCAGTATAGCTCGGTTGCTTCATCACGATAGGCAAGCCCGACCACCATGTCAAGGCAGCAACAACGGTCGGGCCCTATAATGACGGGATGTAAACGTACATACCAACATATTTGTGAGAATAAAATCATGAATCGATCTAAGTTCGGCCATCATTGAAAACCTGGGAGCACTGGACCCCCGTCTCATCCTAGTATGAAGCTTCTCACTTGTGCACATTTATGTCCTCGCGCAAATGCTTAACGTCTAGACCACTAGGCCGGCATCTAAGCGTGTTTTAACGGTAGTCCGACATATGTCGGTTCATAATTTCAATGAAATTCAACAATTTCCTATACTCATATTTGTGAAATTTAGATATTGAAACGTTGCATTACCCAACGAAAAATACTTTTTTATTATAAACATAAATTACTCAACATTTATGTCGTCAAAGTGAGCATTTAATGGATCCATACCCATATCAACAGAAAACAGTGTTCACCATGCATAAGAGCGTGTTGTTTTACCAGCTTTCCTGTGCTCTCGATTTCTTTACTTTTAACTTATTTACTGTTTGTTCTTTTACATGTTGATTGTTCAATCTGTTCAAAAGTTATCATTCAGTGAACCATAATTACTGAATAAAATACTTAGTGAATGATCCAAGAAATTCAACTGCAAGTCGATCGTTACCAGATTTTCTTCCAAACTCGTAAACTCCTTTGTGGATAGTTGTATACCAATACCAAATATCAACAAAAGTGAATATATTATATAAATTCTAATAGTTATACAATGTTATTTATATCAAGCAGTTAAGATCATCATTTTCAATGAATTTCATTATTTGAAATAAAAAAAATTAAGTTATAACTGTACTAACTACTCATTTCAAATAATCCTGATAGTTTTCAACAATTCTGACATGTTTTTATTAATTTTTGTTTCTTTATTTTTTACTACAAACCAAGTCACTTGAAAATTACTACAACCAACTCAAAGATTTATTTATTTATATCTATTATTATAATATCATTATGTGGTGTATGCTACTTATGTCGATAGACACAAGTAGTATGTAACATCAATCAAAAGTTGAATGTCTGGGAGAAAAATGGCTAAGAAGACCAAGTTGGAAAAAACACAAATGGAAATAGAAAGAAATTGTAAACTGGAAACATCATACAGAATATGAAAGACAAATGATGGAAATTTGCAAATAAAATATTCAATGTATTGTTCTTATATATTTATCAATATATTCTATCATTTTGTATTAATATACGTTAGTTATCCCTTTTAGATGGTGGTTGGAGGTAGTCAACAGGAAACCCTGGACCCGGGTTTTGTGCTACTTGGCACTCGTCAGCAAAGTGTACCTGTTATCTTGAGGGAACTGGTGCTCCCTGGCGGATTCGATCTCGCGTCACCCAGCTTCACAGTTAGAGACGTTACCACTGAGCTATCCGAGCAGTGTCGAGTCACCTAGGCTGGTGGCCACATTGCAACATGATCGATAACATTCGATCTGCACTAATAAGGACTAGAAAAGCATGACATTGATCACCACCCAGTGACCAATCAATTGTGGTTAGTTATCCCTATTTATATTTAAGGTCAATAGGAACCAATCAACGTCGAGGTGTACAAAACAATCTATGAAACATATATGGAGAAATTCGAACACTTCATTTCTATCTGAAGTTTGTGCTGATGATGTCGTTTAGAAGAACGATGAAAGCGCCACGACCAAACTACCCAGCTCAGAGAATAAAACTCCATCAAAATCCCTATTTATATTCATATTCATTACAATTTCTCTCAATTCATATTTACAAAATGATAAAGATAAAATTTATTGATTTATTATTCAAATTTAATTGATACATTAGATAATATTAATTAATTGTTGTTTATTTTAATTTTAAAATAATCAATATCACTTGAAATTCGATTTAAATAAGCGCTCTAAAGAAATTAAATGTATATATATATATATATATATATACATATATATATATGTATATATGTATATATATATATATATATATATATAAACATATATCTAAGTGTTGTTAATATACTTTTTTCCGTTAGAAAAATCTATTGTTTGAATGAAAAGATTTCGAAATAAAAGTAATGCAATTGATCTGTATCATTTGATTGATTCAAGGGTTTTCTTTCTTTAAAACAAAAATTAAAAAAATGAGAGAAATATTGTTTATTTTGTTTATTTAAAGAAAACTTACAAGTGAAATACAAAACAAACAAATAAACAAGAAAACTGAATAAAATTTCTTCTTTTTTTATGAAAAAAAACCAAAGATAAAAAAGCTTAGACCAGATTGCTAGGAGAGACGTTGGATTTACTTCAAAAAATTCATGCGCTGATATTTTACAAATACATTCTTCCTCTTTAATGTCACACATCAACTCGGCGCCCAAATACTATGAAACTATTCGATCACAGATAAATGTTTAAAATACTGGATTAGATAATATTGAACTATGATTGAATTGTTGTATAATTAAACAATTAACTGCGTCAAATAATTCTTACTAATTTTTGCCGTTTTAACATTCTTAATTACTCTGCTTGCCATGATCATTAAATGTTCTGTTCTACATTTTAGTAGTCGATATAACCATTTTTCTGACCATAATCCGTATTATTATTCTAGTAGACATTATAATTTTATTAGTTGAGATCATGAATTAATTGAAGCTAGACCACTATGGAAAACCTTGAAGCACTGGACGGCCGTTTCGTCCTATTGTGGAACCCCTCAACAGTGTGCATCCACGATCCCGCTCAAATGATTCGAATCCAGGATCTATCAGTTTCACAAGAGAACGATTAAGCTCTAGACCACTGAGCTGGCCGTCATCCAACGGTGTTAATGTATAACTTTAACTAATCCACGAAATTGAGCGATACATCCACCATTGTCATCAGTAAGTTACTATTTTGTTACAAATTTAGTACTATGAATTAAAAACAGATAAAATCAAGAAGTTTCGAATGGTTAATTTCAAAGAATTCTGTAAATATTTCGCGAAACAAATCTTTGAAATCTGAAGAAAATGTATCAAAAAAAGAGGATTATGTTTAAATGATACCTAAGAGTAGTTTATTTCTGTTTAACTGAGTTTAAAAAAAAAAGAGAAAATAAAATATCTGCATATTTCATACAACCATACAATCAGTTTTAGTTAGACAAGTAAAGAAAACAAATACTTTAGAAATAAGGAATTAAGATTATCAAAATGAAAAGTTGTTATCAGCTAAGTAATAAATAACTAATGATCAAAATAAACAAATTTCAACAATCTAGTTATCATTTCTATCTATTCAATATTGTTCAGGATTGATACTGTTAGTAGATAGTTTAAGTTTTATTCTTAAATCTATTTTATACTGAGATTTCATCAAAATTCAATAGTTTCTCACTTGTTTTATCCAATGTATATAGTTGTTTAATGCTTAAAATATAAAAATAAGTTACACAAAACACTGTATAAATAAGTAATGTCATAATCAAATCTTATTATTATCACGATCATGTATTAGATGATAGTTGATGATAATAATGAGAAATGAGTAAATTTAAAAATCTAAATAGATAGATCTAAAATCAATACAAAGTTTCAAATGTAACACATCTAAAGATCTTAGGTTCAGGTTTCTTGAATTCTTTTGAATGCACATGGCTAAAGTGTTTTAAATTAAGACAAGTGAACTATCGAGTGTTACTTGCTTTTCAGTAGAGCACTGATAATGATCATCCTATAATTAATTATTAGTTAACGAAAACGTACAACCAAACTATATATATATTGAAATTGTAGCTGTTTTTAAAGAGTAGAGCAAAACTGTGAACACCAGATGAAAAATTGGATAAATTTTATGTAATAGAACAACTTACATTCTTTCACCTGTTACTCCTCATAGAGGAGCATAGGCCACCCACCAGCATTCTCCACCAAAATCTGTCCACAGCAATCCCGTAGAAAACAGCCTTGCTAAAAAACGCAATATAACAGATATTCATCAAATGAAAGTGATGTGTATTTTGAAAGTTTCTAGGAAGCAGAACACTTTCTGGTGTAATAATACTAAACAGTGTTTTAAATAAAAATAATATATTTGTAATATCCCAATGAGTAGAAAATTGGATTTTCTGACGTTTCGTGGCTTAGTGTAAGTCACTTCTTCAGAGAATAAATAACCAAATTAAAATTAATCCAAGTTTAAATAGTACACGAAACGTCAGAAAATCCAATTTTCTACTCATTGGGATATTACAAATATATTATTTTTATTTATAACAATCAACCCAATGCTCAATTTATTCGAAATTATCAAATTAAACCTTGGTAATGACACCTATAAACAGTGTTTTGTTGAAGAATTCATAAGATTTAATAATTACGAAATTAATAAATTCCAAGGAAAATGTTATTCATCCCTATTGGTTTACAATAAGGACGACAGAAACATAGTTTTATGCACAACTATCGAACTTTTATAAAACATATTTCAGAAGTCCCGTTTTGCATTTTAGTGATTATATTACAATAAATGGCTTTAAGAATACCAAACAATATGTATAGTAATAATGATGATATTTAATCCCTTTAGATAACATTAATTTCAACAACGGCCTATCAACAGCTATTCTTTTTGGTAAACGATATTGTTAAAAACAAAAGTTTAGTGCTTTTTATTCATTTTGTAACTAAGTAAAAACAGATGAAGTTCTCACCTTAATTCAGTATCATCAGAGTTTATATTTAAAAACATCAAACACCAGACAGAAGTTTCATTTTCTCATTTAAGACTTCATACATAAGAGTACAACTAAGAAGTTGAAAACTGGGAAAAAAAAACTGTCCAATGTTTCACAGTTTACAAAAACGCTTCAGCTAATATAAGTTTCAAAAGAAAATTATCTTAAAATTGATAGAATAAATCGTTTTTCTAGAAGAAGAATTATTTAAGCATTGAAAAGTGAACGAAATCACTAAACAAAAAAATTGTTAGAAAACTAGTTTACTGTAGAAGAATTAAGGATAATTCAGAAAAATACTTCCTAAATCATGTCGTTCACTTGATCTGTACAATTATTATTATAGTGAATTAACAAACAAACTGGTCTTACTTACTTCCTTACGCCTGTTACTCCCAATGGAGCATAGGCCGCCGACCAGCATTCTTCAACCTACTCTGTCCTGGGCCATCTTTTCTAGTTCCATCCAATTCTTGTTCATTCTTCTTATGTCTATTTCCATTTCTCGGCGTAATGTGTTCTTTGGTCTTCCTCTTCTCCTCATTTGGCCTTGAGGATTCCATGTGAGGGCTTGTCTTGTGACACAGTTGGATGCTTTCCTCAATGTGTGTCCTATCCACTTACAGTGCTTCTTCTTAATTTCTTCCTCCACTGGGATCTGGTTTGTTCTTTCCCACAGTAGGTTGTTGTTAATAGTGTCCGGCCAACGGATCTGAAATATTTTGCGTAGACAACTGTTAATAAATACCTGTATTTTCTGGATGATGGCTTTCGTAGTTCTCCAGGTTTCTGCCCCATACAGTAGAACTGTCTTGACATTTGTATTGAAAATCCTGACCTTGGTGTTGGTTGACAGTTGCTTTGAGTTCCAGATGTTCCTCAGTTGTAAATATGCTGCTCTTGCTTTGCTGATCCGCGCCTTCACATTTGCATCAGATCCACCCTGTTCATCAATGATGCTGCCCAAATATGTAAAGGTTTTTACACCTTCTAAATCTCCTTCGTCAATTGTGATTGGATTGGTGCATTCTGTGTTGTATCGGAGAATCCTGCTTTTCCCTTTGTGTATATTGTGACCTACTGCTGCTGAGGCTACTGCCACACTGTTCGTCTTCTCCTGCGTTTGTTGTTGCGTTTGAGATAAAAGGGCCAGATCATCTGCGAAGTCTAGATCGTCCAACTGCATCCTAGATGTCCATTGTATCCCGCGCTTCCCTTCAGATGTTGACGTCCTCATAATCCAGCCGATCACCAGGAGAAAGAGAAAGGGTGAGAGTAAGCAACCTTGCCTAACACCGGTCTTCACTTCGAACGACTTTGTCAACTGCTCTACATGCACGATTTTGCAGTGTAATCCATCATATGAACTCTGTATGATATTGACTATCTTCTGAGGCACGCCGTAGTGTCGAAGAAGTTTCCATAGTGTTGTTCTGTCCACGCTATCAAATGCCTTTTCGTAGTCAATGAAGTTGATGTAGAGTGATGAATTTCATTCAATCGATTGTTCCACAATGATCCGTAGAGTTGCGATTTGGTCTGTACACGATCTATCCTTACGGAATCCTGCCTGTTGGTCTCGAAGTTGGGCGTCTACGCAGTCCTTCATCCTTGCATTCGCCGCTACGTCTGCTTTCAGTGCCTCTGCTGGAATGTTGTCCGGTCCCGCTGCTTTGCCACTCTTGATTTGTCTGATGGCCATGCTGATTTCTTCAATTGTTGGTGGGCCAACATTGATTGGCAGGTCCGTGGGTGCTGCTTCGATGTTGGGTGGGTTCAGTGGAGCTGGTCGATTCAAGAGTTCTTTGAAGTGTTCTACCCACCTGTTTTGTTGCTCTTCAATGTTGGTGATTACCTTGCCTTCTTTGCTTTCCACTGGTCGTTCTGGTTTGCGGCGATTTCCAGAGAGTTTCTTTGTTATGTCATACAATTGTCTCATGTTTCCTTCTCTTGCAGCCTATTCCGTCGTCGTTGCTAAATCTCCCACATATTTACGTTTGTCGGTTCTGATGCTCCTCTTCACTTGTTTGTTTACTTCTGTGTATTCACCTTGTGCCTTGGCTTTTTATGCTCTTGTTCGGCTGGTATTGATTGCTGCTTTCTTGTTCCTCCTTTCTTGAATCTTATCCAGTGTATCAACAGTGATCCATTCCTTGTGATGGTACTTCTTGTGACCCAGGACCTCATGACATGTTGAAGTGATTGCCTCTTTGATCCCCTTCCAGTTGCTCTCCATAGTAGTTCCTTCTCCATTGAGTAAATCATGAAAGGCCAGGAATTTTTTGCTGAAGGCTATCTTGAATTCGTTAAGTTTGTTAGTATCCTGAAGAAAGGCCATATTGAACATTTGTGATATTGTCCGCCCCATTGTCCAGTGCTTCTTGAGTTTCAATCTCATCTTGACGACCAGTAAGTGATGATCAGATGCTATATCAGCTCCTCTCTTGGTTCTCACGTCCTCTATAGTCCTCCTGAACGTTTTGTTGATGCAAATATGGTCGATTTGGTTTTGCGTGGTGTGATCCGGTGAAGTCCATGTGGTTTTGTGTATGCGTTTATGTGGGAATATGGTGCCGCCTATGACCAGTTTATTGAAGGCACATAGGTTTGCAAATCTCTCACCATTTTCATTCCTTTCTCCCAGTCCGTGTCGTACCATGATGTCTTCATATCCAGTGTTGTCCGTTCCAACCTTGGAATTAAATCTCTCATCAGAATGATCAGGTCCTTTGTTGGGTACTTCTCGATGATTGACTGCAGCCTATTGTAGAATTGATCTTTAGCGTCTTCATTGTAGTCGTTGGTAGGCGCGTAACATTGAATGATGT